ATAGAGGAGTAGGCATTGTGTGATCATGCCCAACAGGGGGATGCTTTCTCTCTCTCCCTCCCCACCCCGTCTCTTTCTGTCTCCGACAAGTACACTTATTGTCTGGTAATAAATAAGTATTAGGCCAGAGTTTAATGTATTCACTCTCTCTATAATTGTTTTTTTGGTTTGTTTTTTTGTTTTTAGAGATTTTTGCTATAGGGTACATGCGCTCACCACAGAGACAGAAAGCGAGAAATCACCCTCAAAAGGGACAGCCACGCCATCATCCCTTCTCCTCCATTCACCTCTTGGGATTTTGGATACGCATGTACATGCGCCTGGCGTGAGTCTTAAGCTGCTGGGTCTGGGACTCGAACCGCGGTTGACTACATGGGAGTCCTTTACACTTTCTGTTGGTCCCTCTATACTTATTTTTTATGTCTTCCTGGGGTTATAATAATCTTCACAGATTCTTATTTTTTTCTTCCTTTCTTTTATTTAAAAGAGATTTTTGCTATAGGGGACATGTACTTTCTGGAGAGACAGAGAGAGAGAGACAGACATACAGAAGGTGAGAAATCACTCCCCCCCCCCACCCAGGGGGGATGGCCACAACACAATCCCTTCTCCTCTCGGAATCTTGGTCATGCATACTCACATACCAGCATGAGTTTTAAGCCTCTGGGTCTGGGACTCAAAGTGAGGTCAACTACCTGGGAGTCCAGCAACCTAACCATTATGCCATCTGCTGGTCTCAACAGATTCTTATTTCTATACTTTCCCAGAATTTTAGTAATTTTTCTGTACTTTCCTAGGGTTATGGTAATCTTTTTTTTAAAAAAAATTATTTATTTATTTATTTATGTTTGTTATTAATATTTTTTAATTCAACCAGAGAGAGAGAGAAAGCAAGCTGCCAGGTCCAGGACTCTAACCATGGTCGGCCATGGAGTAATCCAATATTTTAACCACCACTCCACCTGCTGGCCTCATGGATTAATCTTACCACTACCAAAACAAAACATTTCAGATTAGCCAGTTTGGGTTTGTTGATGCGTTTGATTCTTAAGATTTGGTGGTGTCTGAAGCTTAACAAAAGCTGTACCTAGTGTGAATTTGGTTCCTTCTATAGTTACTTTTTTTTCTTTTTTTTGGGAGAGATTTTCGCTATAGGGCGTGTGCGCTCGCCAGACAGACAGACAGAGACAGAAAGCGAGAAATCACCCCCCAGGGGGGATGGTCATGCCGCAATCCCTTCTCCTCCATTCTCCTCTCGGGATCTTGGGCACGCACGCACACATGCCCAGCGTGAGTTTTAAGACACCGGGTCTGGGACGCGAACCGCGGTCAACTACATGGGAGTCCAGCGACATAACCATTACGCTAATTGCTGGTTCCCTAGTTACATTTTTTTTTTAAGAATTATTTTATTTAACTTTATTTATTATCATTATTATTTTCCAGTTTGATCAGAGAGCGACAGAGAGAGAGGAAGTGAGAAAGCAAGCCACCAGGTCCCAGACTTGAACCGTGGTTGGCCATGTGGGGAGTTCAGCACCTTTAATCACCATGCCACTTGCTGGCCCCTATAGTTTACATTTTCACCTGTTAAATTAATTATTTTTTTCCAAAGCTCATTGCCTTTAATTTTTTGCAAACTGGAGTTACTGCCTAAGTTGAGATATTCTTTACTTTCTGTGTCATCAGTATCACATAACCAAGTATTCTGTTGTCATTATGAATTGATCTTTTCTGGTAACAATATTCCAGGAATCGTAGATGTTTTCTCTTTCAAGAGATTGGCGATCATGTCTGTAGAGTTAACTGTTTAGGGTATTTGGCTCTTTCACCCATTTGAACCCACAGTACATACTTGGTCATCGTAAGTGACCATAGACACTCATCAGCACTGGATCTCCTTTTACGTTGGCTGTGTGTGGTGACCTGTGCTGATCCTCATTCCTGTTCATGGCCCAGTACCTGCTTTTTGGGGGACAGTTTGGGTTAGTCACAGTCCCCTGTATCGATCCCTCCCACGCATACTGAAATAAAAAAGCACATAGCTCTACTTCATAAATGGATACTTAATTGGAAAAACAAAACACCTAAATGTTGATACCAACCTAATTAATACATGAAGACATTAAATACCCTATTATTTTTCACTCTTGTTTAGAACTATCTTTTTATGTATTTTAACTTTCCCTTTGGCATCTCATTATGAATTTGTGGCTTCTCATAGATTCAATTTATTCTATTTAACTATAATTATTATTCTTTTTTAATGTTCAAATTGTGACAGCTTGGCTAACCTCATGCTGGATTCCGTGTCCTTGCAGCCGTAGCCTGGATCTCTCTGTTTTAAAATCTTGCTTTCTGACAAGAAGATCCTCCCAGCTCATCTTGATTTTTTCCCTGCCCAAAGACATGGAACTAGTGCTGTCCCTAAAACTAGTTCCTTTTAATGGACAGTGGCATTAAAGACCAAAACCTTAACCAAAACCAAAACCAAAACCATGGGGTGATAGGCTGGAAGGCAGTGCTGTGTCCATTGTAGGGTAGAACATGTTTCCTTTAAGAGCATTGTTAGGGGGAACCAGCAGTTAGCGTAATGGCTATGTCGCTAGACTCCCACGTAGTCGACCGCGGTTCGCGTCCTGGACCCGGTGGCTTAAAACTCACGCCAGGCGCGTGTGCGTGCCTGCCCAAGATCCCGAGAGGAGAATGGAGGAGAAGGGATTGCGAGGTGCCCATCCATCTCCCCCTGGGGGGTGATGTCTCGCTTTCTGTCTCTATGTCTCTCTCTGTCTGGCGAGCGCACGCGCCCTATAGCAAAAAAAATCTCTCCCCCCAAAAAAAAGAAAAAAGAAAAAAAAAGAGCATTGTTAGGAATGGCAGTCTAATTTAACGTTAACAGCACTGATTCTGTCTTTTCTTCATTACAAGGTTTCATTGATCACTATTGACACGTAACTTTTGTTTTCATTGCTGAAGGGCAGATGTGCTCAACCAAGACACAGACAGAAAGAAAGTAGGGGCTGGCTGGGGGCGTAGTGGTTAGGGATGCTGGACTCCCATATGGCTGACTGCCGTTTAAACTGATGGCTTGTTTTCTTACTTTCCCCCTCTTTCTCTCTCTTACTTTGTCCCTATCTGGTCAAATTAAAACAAATAAAATTAAATAAAATAATTCTTTAAAAAAAGTTTTTTTTAAAGTACCCACAGTGGGGCTGGTCATGCCTTAGTCCTCTTCCCTCCATCTCTCCATCTTGGCCATGTGTCCTGGGCCAGGCCATTGCAGCCTCTGCTCTAGATCATATGTTAAGTCTGAAGCTCAGAATCAAGCCCAGTATTATTATTTATTTTTTTTTTGAGAGGTTTTTGCCATAGGGCGCGTGTGCTCGCCAGACAGACAGAGAGAGACAGAGAGACAGAAAGCGAGAAATCACTCCCCGGGGGGATGGTCACGCCACAATCCCTTCTCCTCCATTCTCCTCTTGGGATTTTGGGCACGCACGCACATGTGCCCGGTGTGAGTTTTAAGCCACCGGGTCCGGGACGCAAACTGCAGTCGACTACATGGGAGTCCAGCAACATTATGCCAACTGCTGGTCCCAAGCCCAGTATTATTTGATAATGGACACAACTCTGATATCCTGTCAGTTGTGCTCCCTTACTTTCTCAGAATTGCTTTCTGGCCCACTGCAATTCCTTGACTTGTTCCTGGAAAGAGAGTGTGTCATATCTGAATGAAAGCAGTTGAGAAAAAGAAATAGTTTTTCAGGCCAGCAGATGGCATGGAGGTTAAAGCAGCTGGATCCCACATGGCCGATAGTGCTGTTTGAGTCCTGACCTGCAGCGTGAATGCATCAGGAATGTGCACGCATGTCCCAAATCCTGACAGTAGAATGGAGAACGGATTAGGGCAGGGCATCCCTCTTGGGAGTGAATTTTCACTTTCCCTCTATGTCTCTGGTGAGCATACACACACCTATAGAAAGAACTTTTAAAAAAGAAATACTGTTTTGGAGAGGTTTTTTTCTGGAGAGGATTTTTGGAGAGGTAAGAAATACTGTTTTGATGAGAGTGTATCTTGTGCTTTTTCCCCCATGAAAGAGGCATTCATGAAGAGGCCTAAAATTGAGGACCGAGAAAATCTGTACTCCCAAGGCCAGCAGGTGGTGTAATGGTTAAGGTGCTGGACTTCGGCATGGCTGACTGTGGTCTGAGGTCTGGACCTGGTGGCTTGAAAATCATGTTGGGCATGGTGGGTGTGCGCCCAAAATTCCAGGCGGAGAATAGAGAGGGGATTGTGGCATGGCCATTTTCCCGGGGAGGGGGAGGGGAGGTGGTTTCTTACTTGCTCTCTCTCCCGCTCCCTCCTTCTCCCCATCTTTCTCTGCCAAGTGTTTGTACCCTATGACAATAACCTTAAACAAAATAATTGTACTTCAAAGATGGACTGTGCAGGATAGAGACTGGTCCCTGTAATATACAGGTCCACTAAGATTTTATTTATTTTGCTAAAGGTTTTGTAGAAAACAAATGTTGTAACATATACCTTGGCAATATAATTCTTTTTTTTAAAGTAATTATTTAATTTTATTTATTCATTCATTTATTTTAATTTGACCAGAGAGAGATACAGAGCAAGAGAGAGGGAAAGTGAGAAAGCAAGCCACCAGGTCTGGTTTTCGAACCATAGTCAGCCATATGGGAGTGTCCAGTGCCTTAACCACCACACCACCTGCTGGTCTCAGCAATATAATTCTTCAGAACTAAGTCTTAGAAATCTTCAGTCAGTATTACCCTTTGCATATATATCTATATATTACACTGTTAACATTGCCGGGAAAGAGAGAGCAGGGAAAAGGTAACCTTTTAGGGAAAGTACAACTGAGCTCATTTTTATGTCAGAGAATAGGCATTTTGCTTTCTAGGCTCTAGATGTCTTAGGTTTATAAAACTGGTCTAAAATGTGTATCACTTTTTTTCCCTCCTACCCCACTCCTTTTTAGGTTTTCAAAACAAAAACAGAGTTGCAATCTTGGCAGAACTGGACAAGGAGAAAAGAAAATTACTTATGCAGAACCAATCTTCAACAAATCATCCTGGAGCTAGGTATTGACTACTATTTTGGAGTGCTGTGGTTTTTTTTTTTTTTTTCTTTCAGTAATTTCATTTATTCATTCATTTATTTTAACTTCACCAGAGAGAGATACAGAGAGAGAGGGAAAGTGAGAAAGGAAGCCGCCAGGGCCAGGACTCGAATCTTGGTTGGCTGTGCAGGAGTGTCCACTGCCTTAACCATCATGCCACATGCTGGCCCCCCTGTTATTAATTATATTTTTCAAGATAATAGATGGAGAGACCAGAAGGTAGCATGGTGGTTAGGGTGTGGGACTCCCACATGGCCAACCACATTTCGAGCCTCAGACCTGGAGGCTTGCTCGCTCATTCTCTCTCTCACACACACACATGTGCCCTACAGCAAATTAAAAAAATAATAATAACAAAATTAAATAATTCTTTTAAAAAGATAATAGATGGAAACATTTATTTTTATTTTACTTTATTGTTCGTTAAGCATATAAATTTTAAATGAAAATAATGGTTTTTTTTGTTGTTGTTTGTTTTTGGAGAGGTTTTCACTATAGGGTGCCTGCGCTCACCAGACAGACAGACACAGAGAGACAGAAAGCGAGAAATCACCCCCTAGGGGGGATGGCCACGTCGCAATCCCTTCTCCTCCATTCTCCTCTTGGGATCTTGGGCATGCCCTCACACACACCCGGTATGAGTTTTAAGCCACCAGGTCTGGGACTCAAACCGCGGTCGACTACATGGGAGTCTAGCGACATAGCCATTACACTAACTGCTGGTCCCAAAAATAAAGTGGTTTTTATACTCAGTGATGCAAAAAAATTTCTTGGGCCAAATATAGGCCGAGTATCCCTAATCCAAAAACCAGAACTCTGAACTGTTCCAAAATCCCAAACTTTTTGAGTGCCAATATGATGCTACACGTGGAAAATCTCACACCTGGCCTCATGTGATAGGTCACAGTGAAAAGGCAGGTAAACAACACAGAGTTTACTTATTGCCCCCAAGGAGAAAAAGGAAGACCTTTCTAGTCCTCTTTAGCTATGATGTATCTTTCCTGAGCACGCCCAGAAATCCCCCATGCATGCATACCCACAAAGAGTTTCATGCACAAAATTATTAAAAATATAAAGGCCAGCAGGTAGTAAGGGGCTAGATCCCACATAGTTGACTGGGTCCTCCCACCCATCTCTCCCTGGTGACCACATGCACCCTACAGCAAAAAAAAAAAAACCTATTAAAAAAGCACAAATTACCCTCAGGCTTTCTGTATAAGGCATATGTGAAACCTAAATGAATTTTATGTTTTAGGCTTTGGTCCCATCTCCAAGATATCCCATTAGATATATGCAAATATTCTAAAATCTGAAGGGAAAAAAATCCAAAATACTCTTGGCTCTGAGCGTTTTGAGTAAGAGATACTCAGCCTGTAACTCAGACTGGTTTCTAATGGTGTATTAACATTGCATTTTATACCCGTCTTGTTTCTGTAGAGGAGACTAAACGTTCTCTTTACCCATTTTAGCTCTCAGTTGGGGGTGGACCCCTGTAACAAAAGACAGATGAACAAGAAAAAAAAATTAAACAAGGTTAAGGAGCATATATGGGAGAAACCTCAATGAAAAGTAACTCCAAATAAGGGCTTAGAACTCAATTTACATAGTCTCTTCAACAAGAAACAGTAAATCTATAGAGAAATGACAGAACAAAGAAAAGTGAGTTTCGGCTTCCAAGGGTGGGAAACTGTGGGAAGGTAAATGTCTGGGAGAAAACTAATGGGGCACGGTTTGTTGCAGATTCTACGGGTCATCTCTGGGCTGCTGAGTCCAGAGGTGTCTCTAGTAAAGGAGAATTTATGTCTTGTCTGTAGGCAGAACAAGAGTGAGGAAGAGAGAGCTTTTCTTCCATTCACTGCTTCTTAATTACCTTTAGCTAAAAATAATTTTTTTAGAGGGATTTTTGCTATTGGGCGTGTACACTTGCTGGATAGACAGAGACAGAAAGTAAGAATTCATTTCCTAGGGGAGGATGGCCATGCCACAATCCCTTTACTCCCATTCTCCTCTTGGGATCTTGGGCACATATGCACATACACCTGGCCTGAGTTTTAAGCCACTGGGTACGGGACTCAACCATGGTCGACTACATGGGAGTCCAGTGACATAACCATTACACTATCTCTGGTCCCTCAAAAATAATTTTTATATGAAAGAGACATGTTTTGGGGTAACATAATCATTCATTTTCCTTTATTTTCTAGTTAGACTCAAAATTTGGACTATTGAATTGGTTAGATTTTAAGTATCCTGGCTAGAATATTTATTTTCCCTATGGTCTTTTTATTTTTTTAAAAAAAGTTTTGTATGTTTTTTGTTACTCCCAGTGGCCTGCTTTTTAAGTTCTGCAAAGTAGGTAAAATACAGGTAGTGAGCTTCATTGTATTCAGTCTCGGCCGTATTCAGACTCTTCCCTCACCTCATTGTCCCATTGAGCCACCGCTCTCTCTCTCGCTCGCTCGCTCTCTCTCTCTCTCCCCCCTCTTTTAAAGTAGTTATTTATACTCTACTTTTTCACTTAATCACTCCTCTGACCTACTGCGGTCTGATTTCCAGGCCCTCCTCTTTCTACCAAAGAATGTGTGCTTGCCTAGATTATTTGCAACCTCCTTGCTGCCAACTCTGGCAGAACCAAGTGCTTTCCTTATCAGTCTTATTGACAGAACAAATCACTCCCTCCTTCCTAAAATACTCTTTCCTTGGCTTCTGTTCACTCGCTCTTACAATTTAGAAAGCAATAGAAGGAGACTGTTTCTTCACTGCCTGTTTCTTACATTTGATGGTCCCCGGAGTTGTTCTAGACCAGGTTTCCCAGTCCCCATCCGTTTCCCCCCCACCAGACACTTGCATCCACTCCCATGACCTATTATGTAGGTGTCGATAACCTGTAGCTCTGTTCCAATCCTCTCCTCAGACCATCAGACTGCCTCCTACACATCTGCTTTAAGACCTGGTGGCTTAAACTCAAGCTGGGCATGTGTGTGTGCCCAAAATCCTGAGAGGAGAATGGAAGAGAAGGGATTGCAGGGTGGCCATCCCTTCTGGGGGGTGATTTCTCACTTTCTATCTCTCTGTCTCTCCAGAAAGCACCCATGCCCTATACCAAAAATCGCTCTTTAAAAAAAAGAAAAGAGAGAGACCAGCAGGTAGCGTGGTGGTTAAAGACCTGGACTCCCACATGGTCAACTGAAGTTCGAGGCCTGGACCTGGCAGGATGCTTTCTCACTTCTCTTTCTCTCTCTCTGTCCCTCTCTGGTCAAACAAAAAAAATAAGGTTAAATAATTCTTTATAAAAAAAAAATAAATAAACATCATGGGGGGCCAGCAGGTGGCATAGTGGTTAAGGCAATGGACTCCCATGTGGCTGACCACAGTTCAAATTCCGGACCTGGCAGCTTACTTTCTCTCTCTGTTTCTCTCTCCCTCTCTGTCTCTGGTGAGCACACATACCCTATAGCAAATACATAGTAATTATAATAAAGAAACAAAATCAAATAAAGAATTATTAAAAAAAAAAGAACACATAATGGATAATGTGATTTAGTAAGGATGTCTCTTCAGGAAATTTATTGTACAGCATGATGACTATAGTTAATAATGAATGTATATTATACTGGAAAATTGCTAAGAGAAAGAGATCTTAAGTGTTCTTGCAACAAAAAGTTAAGTGTGTGAGCTGGTGGATATGTTAAGTACTTTATTTAACCATTTCACATGGATACAAATATCAAAACATCTCATTTTATATCGTGCATTTATACATTTTTTGTCAGCTATAGTCAATTTTTTAAAAGTACTATATTATCATTAAATTAAAAAAAAAAAATAGAAGTGCATGCCGCCAATTAACTGAGGCTCCCATTTTAGCATCACACTGTCGAGACCGGCTCTGAATAAGGACTTCCGGGACCACGCCGAGCAGCAGCACATCGCCGCCCAGCAGAAGGCAGCGCTGCAGGTGAGCCGAGTGTAACTGGCATTGTCTCCTGGAGTTCCCGGGTCTGAGAAGCCAGGACAGTGGTTATTTTGTATTTCAGTGGAGCAATATCAATAAAAATGTTCCACACATAACTGCAGTGGTTTGCCTGTGATCAGTCGTGCCCGAAGGACTTGAAGGACCAGTATAGCAGTAATGAACGGATCTTTTATGGCGTTGGTGTGGGCATGATTGATGTGTGCTGTACCTGCCAAAGGGCTACTTGTGCACACAGGAGTTCAAGATATCTGGAGGAACAGGATCACTTTAAAAAGTGAACTGTCTGATTTACTAGTACATATATTTTTTCCAATTTGTCATGTCATTACATCCTTTGATAGTCTTATTGGTTTCTGTATTGGATTATTTTTTAATGATCAGCACAACTGCTATGTAGGGAATGTTTAAAGGCTAATAACTCTTACCCATTGGAGTGGGAATGTGAAGTTCCATCCGTTTAAAAAATATTATTCACGGGACCAGCAGTTAGCATAATGGCTATGTCGCTGGACTCCCACGTAGTCGACTGTGGTTCGCGTCCCCGACCTTGTGGCTTAAACTCACGCCGGGCGCATGTGCGTGCATGCCCAAGATCCCGAGAGGAGAATGGAGGAGAAGGGATTGCGGCGTGGCCATCCCCCCTGGGGGGTGATTTCTTGCTTTCTATCTCTCTGTCTCTGTCTGTCTGGCGAGCGCACGCGCCCTATAGCAAAAACCTCTCCAAAAAAAATATATATATATTCTTCAGAATACTGAATGGGTTTAGTATTACCTCCAACTTAGATAACTTAAGATTCCCAGAGACCTTGGGTTTGTTTTTTTATGTTTTTTTTTTTTTTTTTTTGTGGCATAATTTAATTGCCTATGATTTTAAAACCTTAGAATCCCAGAATTAGAAGGGACATTATAAAGATCTCACTTTAGAAGAGCTAAAAACAGTCTTCCTTTTTTTAAATGACAGGGAAGTCACTCGTGGTTTTCTGTTATTTACATTCCAGCGTTCTCTACAAAATGTTGGTATTTTAATCACCAGCAGTCACTGCCTTCCCCCGATCCTTCCAACTACTGCTTTTCCTTCTCAGCTCCTGCCTCGTTGGCCAGGAGCAGAGGACGGTAGGACCTTGGACGCCCGTTTTCCTCATTCCAAGGAACAAAACAGTTCAAGTCTTTGACTCATTTATTGACTGAAGAGTCACAGAGGAGATAGTGAGGCTGATAAATAAGTACCTGATGCCACTTGTATCCTGTGTATTTAAACAAAGTGAGCAGAGTAAGAACTGATTTTTAAGTAAATTAGCTTTCAGAAATTCAGGATAGGTCATTTTAATGTTTGAAAAATTCTGATTCTTAATTGCCACTGTTTCTTTCTTTTTTTTTTTTTAAATTTTTCCCAGCATGCTCATGCACATTCATCTGGATACTTCATTACTCAAGACTCCGCATTTGGGAATCTTATTCTTCCCGTTTTGCCTCGCCTTGACCCAGAATGAAGAAAGTATTTGTGATCAAAGTGACTTTGCAATATCAGACTCCAAAGCTGCTGTCATTCAGTGCTATACAAACTATGACTTTCGGAATTTTGGTGAACTTTTATATTTTTGGCTTCTTTGAAAGAAAACATGTAAGTGAAACCCGAAAGCAGGGTCACCAGGATGACGGGCGCTTCGGCTGCGGTATCACCTGAGGCCTGGAGGACCACCTGTGACCGTAGCTGATAATGCTGTTGGTTTTGAACTCAAAATCAGACTCCAGACTAGATGGGCACATCAGATCACCCCCAAGGTGGACTGAATAGACCTCGTCCACAATAGGTTTTCAAGAACCATTTATAGTACTTAATATTAAAGAAATGAGGGTGCTCTTTTAAAAATGGGAGCCAAGAGGCTTCCATAAGTTACATTCGTGTTTGCAGTTTCTAGGGCTGATGTGTACCTGTTGAGTTTACAGTCAACCTCTCATTTGGCAACATTGTGAACTCTTAACTAGTTCCTCTATTCTTAGTTTTTAAAGAAAACCCAGGGCAAGACTGAATTGTCAACCAGTCTTAAATTCTTTCATAAACATGCTGTTACGTACGATGTGACTAAATGCCATTAAAAACAATAAGAAAGGTGGGTTTAAAACCTGTACATGCTCTTACTTTGTGACATAAATGGTGTGCGTTTGTGTGTTTTCCATTTTTGCCAGAAGGCATGTGTGCTCATCGGAGAGAGACAGAGAGAAAATGAGAAAAATCACTCC